CATTTGTGGCCCGTTATGTTCCCGAATGAGGGCCTGGTGTGAATAGAACCTCGCTGGCTGCCTTTCTTTTTATTTAACGTAGGTGGGTGACATCTCCTTAATCTCTGGTGTCTCCCATTGCCTCTCAGGCTTCTTCTCGCTCTCATGGGTGTCTGGAGACAGCCCCGTGGCAGCTAAGCCACGACAGGCAGAGATGAGGCTGGAGAGCCAGTGCAGTTAGTGGCAGAAGGGAGGCTGTTGGCAGTGACGGGGCTGGCAGGGCCCAGTTTACACCCCCTACTTCCACGCTGAAACAGGTTTAAAACAAACAAAAGGAAGTTTGTCTTCATGCAGCGCACAGTCAGCCTGTGGAACTCCTCGCCAGAGGATGTTGTGAAGATCAAGACTTTAATAGGGTTCAGAAAAGAGCTAGATACATTCATGGAGGTTAGGTTCATCAATGGCTATTAGCCAGGATGGATAGGAATGGTGTCCCTAGGCTGTTTGTCTGGAAATGGGTGACAGGAGAGGAGGGATCACGTAAGAATCCTCTGTTGTGTTCCCCCCCATGGGGCACCTGGCATTGACCACTGTGGGCAGACAGGACCCTGGGCTGGGTGGACCTCTGGTCTGACCCAGTCTGGCCGTTCTTATGTTCTCTCCCCAGGGGCATAGCTTGCCTGGACATTGTGGTGGGGCCTGTTCCTTTTCATGGCATCGCAAGGTACTTGGGGCCTGAAAGCAGACATGGCGTCGCCTCTGATTCCAGCAGCAGCACCGTTCCCCCGTCGCGTGCCCCCACCCGCAGGCCCTAGCGTATCTGTCAGTACAGATCTGGGCACCCCTTGCTCCTCTAGTGCCCCGGCATTGGCACTCCGAGCACCTAGGCACCCAGACCACGGCTCACTGGGTCAAACCCTGGCCCTATTCCAGGCAATGGGCAAACTCCCAGGGTCTCAGATCCGGCTGGGTGAGAGTCTCCCTTCACGGAAAACACCCAGCCCTTCTTGCGGCCTTCCAGAGGAGACTGAAGTAGGAGCTCCTAGGGAGTACCCGCTCTTGGTATTCTCCGGGGCACGTCTGCACGAGGAAACTGTCGAACTAACTCCCCAGCGTAGAGCCAGAAAAGCGGAGAGCACTGAGAGGCCCCCGGCCACCTGGCTCGGTTGGACAGGGGACAGCTCGGTTCCCGGTGGAGCTGTGGAAGGCCGTGTGAACAGAGAACAACTGGCCGTTTAAGCCAAATGGCGTCACACGTACACGTGGTGTGTGAAAGGCCTCTAGGAAATGATTTTCGGTCACAGTTCTCCGGCTCGTTCCCGCAAGAAGCCACAGACCTACCAAACGAGTCACTTAGCCCTTAATCGCATCTTAGGGACATCTCCGGGAGGCCTCGCGGACAGGCCTCCCCCCCTTGTCTTTCGATGGGCAGCATCTGCACTGCTGGCGAAGCCCAGATTTCCTGCCTGGATTCACTTGCTGCACTCCCGTGAGAGTCCGTGCGGGCGACAGGCTGGGCGCAGTGGCTCTGGTGAGTCGAGTGCTCCAGTGGGGAACAGTTGCAGGAGGGGCCTCTCAGAGGCTGTGAAAAACGTACGGAGGGCTGGGGCTGCTGAGCTGGGTGCTGGGCATGCCGGAGCCACTGCCTTCGCTTGCTCCTCCCGTGACTGCTCTCCTCGGACTGGTTGTTTCTGTCATTTCCCGGTGTTCCGGGAGTGGGCCGGTCGGCTCCAAGTCACTTTGCTTTTCAAAGTGGACTCCCGCCGGATTGTTTGTCAGGTCCTACGTTTTCAGTAACTCCATGTATCACAGCAGCGAAACAGCTGGGTCTTCACTGGGACCCTCCCCAGCACGATCGCGGACTGTCTCCCCGCACCTCTCACCCTGTGGTTAGTGCCAGGAGTGCTCTGTGCTCCCTGCCCTAACCCTGCCTAGGGGGACCGTGTGCTCTCAAGCAGCTGTCGCGTTCCTCGTGCGATCCAAGGCCTTGCGGACGTGGTTTTCAGGGGCACCCCAGAAAGTGGCCAGAGTAAACACACAGTGAGCACAGTAGAGCCTGCAGTGAGCAGTATCTTTGATGGATCTCGCTACACCTTGTTTGTTGGGGTAGCCTCATGGCTAATTAACCTCCTTATGGATTAGCCGCTTAGTCCAGGCACGGCCTGCATCTCCTGAGTCCTGTAAAGCATGGGAGCTAGCGAGGGGGGGTCTGATTTTACAAGGCTGCGGCGACACGCACAATGCACCTGAGATTGGGCTTAAGGGACACACACACACACACACACACACACACACACACACGCACACACACCCCCGCGCGCAGTGACTCTTACGCTGGCATACAAGACGTCAGATTATTCCCTTGCTACTGTGAAGGGCAGGGAGGGGCAGATGCTGAAGGCCGTGCCCCAATCTGCCGTCTTCGTCCACACTGGAAACCGCCGGGCCTCAGTACTCCCCACACACACCCCTTTGAGTCAGTTGGGTTTGCCCCTTTCCAGCTGACTCTGCAAGGTCCAGGTGGTCTCCCCACTGCACGTGTGGGATGGGGCCGCTCCTCGTCCCTGCCTTGCTGGCGCGCAGCTCTGGGATCCGGGCCAGCGGTCTGCGGGGGGAGGGTAGGTAATTTGTTTGGCCTTCCGTTTTTAATTTGCTTCGTGAGGCAGAATTGGTCCCTTGGAAACCTCCGAGCTCTTGACATTTGCACCTTTCGGCTCAATTAAAAGAGCCGACCGCAGCTACTTCTCGGCGCTTTCATTCTGCTCATCGATTCGCCACGCTGTCTCCTCCTCTCTCTCTTTCCTCCTGCCCTGTCATGCCGCAGATCGCGCTGTGGGCCCGTGACATCCCCGGCACTGGCGGCCCGCTCGCCACACACCGCGTGCAGCAGAGCCATCGGTACGGAGACAGCCCCTCACCCGGGCCCAGCAGCGGGTGGGAGGATGGGGCAGGGCTGAATGCTAGAGGGGGAAGGGACGGGAAAGGCCACTGTTGTGTTCCCGCTCCTTGCCCTGGGCTCTTCTGGCTGAGGGCTTCCCTTGCCGGGCCTGCTTCTGGTGCTGCACTTGCTTGCGCTGAACACTCTCCTCTCGCTCTGGACGCGGAGAGGCCATTTTACAACCCTGCATGTTCCGAGCTGGCCCCTGGGGCTGTGCTTAACCGGGCCTTCGCGGAAACCCGTCAGACGGCCCTGAAACGCCGTCTCGGCCTGGGAGCCTCCCTGCAGCCGTCAGCGAGGAAAGGCGCACTGCCGAGGGGCCCGCCCTGGCGCCTCCCCCCCAGCAGCCCCTGGGAATGGCTGATGTGTTTCTGAGCAGCTCCGGGCCGCCCCACTGACTCTCCTTCGCCCATCTGGGCTGGTGTGAGGGTTAACCAGCTCCAGAGAGAGACACTGACTCCATCGCCCTCCTGGAGGCTACGGACTGTCCTACAGAGGGGCAGCCACTTGGGCCGGCTGGGGCAGCGGCTCTGCCTTCGATTCCCGTCCTAACTCGTGCCTGAAAATCTCGACTCAGTGAGGGGCGAAGCGAGCTCTGGCTTTCCGTGTGGATTTAGAAACTGATTGAGTTAAACGGGTTCTCATCCCCGGATAGACACTTACCTCCCTGGGAGGGGCTTAGGTCAGGTCAGCTGAGCCGCTGTCAGCAAGGAATTGACGAGGGCAAAACCGCACGCAGCCTGCTGTGCACTGAAACGACAGCCCCTGTGTGACGGACTGGGCCGTGTCTGGGCACAGCTGAGGGCGTCCGCTCCTGGCGAATTGCTCAAATCCGGGGCTCCTTACAGCCCCAGACTGGTGACCTTCCCAAACACGCCACAAACCAGTCCCACAGAGCGCTTCAGCAGCCTGCCTGAAGCCTCACGAGCAAAACCCTTCCGACACCCCAGCAATATCCGTGCCCCAGATGGCCCCAGGCCTCATACACCGATGGGGGGTCTTAGAACCCAATCCCACCTGCCCCGAACAAGTTCTGTCCGGTTCCAAGAAACCAGCCACAGATCCCTGGTCAATTTACCCTTTAGACCTTACCCACAAATCACGCTGAGCCAATCCTTTAGCATCTAACAACTAAAGGTTTATTACCACAAGAAAGAAAAGCAGGAGAGTAAGGTTGTTAAAGGAATAGTACATTACATGCATCGAATCTCCCAGTTCTCGATGCAGGCTCTAGCAGAGATGTTACAGCTGCTGGCTTAAAATAGTACATTACATGCATCAAATCTCCCAGTCCTCGATGCAAGCTCTAGCAGAGATGTTACAGCTGCTGACTTAAGAGTCCTTGTTGCACATCCTAGGATCAGGATGGGTCCACAGTTCTTTCTGGCTCTTCGATCCCTGCATTGCTGCCTCTGGAATGAAATGCTGAGCTTAAAGACCAAGATGGAGTCCACCACATGGCCTATTTATCCCTCCTTCCTGGTCTCTTCTTGGCTATAGCAGGTCACCTGGTCCACCTTATTCCTGTGTTGCCTGCTGGTAGCCCTTAGGTATGAGTCACCACTCATTCTTTAGGTGTGTCCTTGGCCCATTGAGTGCCATTGTCCCACAGGGCCTCACTGATTAGCATGTCCATAGGCCGGGCTCTGCCCACTGCTCAACCACATGCAGAGAAATATTCAGTATCTACACAGATTAGACTCCTAACTACACACACAGACATTATACAATCACATGATTGGCGTACACAGGATCAGCAGACAGTGAGCTTCTATTCAACACCCCACATGGCCCCCTTTTATACCATTTTTGGGGCCAACACCCCTACCTATGGGTGCAGCAGTGATCTGGCTGCTCCCCTCAGAATCTAGTAACGTGACACCCTGGTCGATGGGTGGGGGTGAGGGTGTCTGGAGAGGGGAGGAGAGAGGAGATGCCATTGCACACTTTCACACAGCCCCTTTGCTTCCTCTGGGCACTGGGAGGGAAGGGGACTGTGTTGATTCAGGCTGTAGAAACTCAGGCCCAACTCCTGGTACTGATGGCCCTTGTAACCGAGGCGCCGGCTCTCTCCTGGGGTGGAATGAGCTGGGTCTGGTTCTTGCAAGCCATATTAGCTTCCCGGGGTCACCTCTTTCTCTTGTTTTGTTTGCAGAGACTTGCTGGGGCGGCTGAGAAGTTCCAGAAAGCCCACCGCTGGCAGGACAACATCAGGGTAAGGCTCTGACTCTCCCCACAGGCTCTGTGCCCGTCTCTGCGGGTTGCTCTCTTGCACGTGGTTTGCCCAGGTTGGCTTTGGCCCTCTCGGGACCCCGCTGAGCCCCTGGAATCAGTGGGGCGGAATTTGGCCCTCCCAGTTTGTGCTCTCTCGGCTTTGTCTTCCTCTCTTCCCAACTGTCAGCTTTTCATGCCCCTGTTCCCGTTCGGCCCCTGCTCGTGCTGTGATTTTTAAAGCAAGTTTTGTCCACGAGTTCCAGCACAGCTGCCCTGCCCTCGTCCTCTGTCCCTGCTGCCTGCCAGCCCTAATGAAAGTGAATGAAGTAATTCCGAGCTCGCTCCCAGCCAGGCCTCTGTCTACGCACGCAGGTAATGAGAGCAGTCGGGAGACAGAAGGTGAAGGTCGAGCTAATGGTTAAACACTTTGGGACTGAGTTCCCGCCGAGAGAATTTACATCTTTGCCGGCTCTGGATGAGTGAGTGGCGTGGTCATGGGGCCCCGCGTGGAGGGCGTGCTCGGTGCAGCAGGGGGCCGGGTGTTAAGTGACGACAGACGCGCACCCGCGCTCGTGCGCCTGCTTTCCCGCTGCCTGTTCGTAATTCCGGTTTGGGCTTGGTTCGGGAGAAGGAATAATTGAGGCTGGTGCCGAGAAAATGTTGATTTAATGATTGCATTTGACTTTGTAATTATGGCAGTGAGAGAGCGCAGCGGGACTCTGAAGGATTCTGCCTGAACTGCTCTCCAATGGTGACAGGCATGCAAAAGGGAGAAGTGGTTGTTTTCCTTCCAGTGCAAATGGATTCTAAAAAACCCCTCCGCGAGACCACCCCTGTTGTGCCATCGCTCCTCACTTGGAGGAGACTCTTACTCCTCAAGTAAGCCCTGGCTAGTGAGCGGAGCTGGAGAACCTCATACAGACACGGGCGCAGCCTGTGGGTCCGGGTTCCTGTAGTTCTCCGTGTCACTGGTCAGACTCTCCCCATCTGTGAAATGGATAGAAGGATCTCCGTGCTCGGAGAGCCATGCCTGAAGGTGTGATTGTCTGGAGGCAATGAGCTGGCCAAGGGGCAGGGGGGGTGCTCTCTGAGCATTGCTGATGGCTCTCCTAGCACAGTCCGCGAGCACTGCAGAGACGGGGGCGGGGGCGCGCTGGCTGCAAAAGGAGGAGAGGAAGTGGCCAGCAGGCTGTTTGCAAAGAGGGATGGAGGTGCCGTAGCCAGGGGGTTGGGAGAGGTGTGTGCAGTGGAGGTGTTTTGTGGCACAGCAAAAATCATAGAACCCTAGAACACTAAAACTGTAAGGGCCCTCGAGGGTCGGGCGGGGGCGCGCTGGCTGGAAAAGGAGGTGGCCAGCAGGCTGTTTGCAAAGAGGGATGGAGGTGCCGTAGCCAGGGGGTTGGGAGAGGTGTGTGCAGTGGAGGTGTTCTGTGGCACAGCAAAAATCATAGAACCCTAGAACACTAAAACTGTAAGGGCCCTCGAGGGTCATCGAGTCCAGTCCCCTGCCCTCCTGGCAGGACCCAGCACTGTCTAGCCCATCCCTGAGAGGTGTCTGTCCAACCTGCTCTTCAGTCTCTCCAGCGATGGAGATTCCACAACCCCCCCTGGGCAATTTATTCCCGTGTTTAACCACCCGGACAGGAAGGTTTCCCTAGTGTCCAACCTAAACCTCCCTTGCTGCAGTTTAAGCTCCTTGCTTCTTGCCCTGTCCGCAGAGGCTGAGGGGAACAATTTCTCTCCCTCCTCCTTGTGACACCCTTTCAGTACTTGAAAGCTGCTCTCATGTCCCCCCTCAGTCTTCTCTTTTCTATGCTAAACAAACCCAATTCTTCTGGTCTGTCCTCATCTCTCCTGTTCTCCAAACCTTTCATCATTCTTGTTGCTCTTCTTTGGACCTTCTCCAGTTCCTCCACATCTTTCCTGAAATGTGGTGCCCAGAACTGGACGTGATCCTCCAGCTGAGGCCTACTTGGAGTAGAGTGGAAGAATGACGTCTCATGTCCTGCTCCCCCACTCCTGTGACAAGCTCTCCTGTGGGCCTGGAGACCGAAATAAAGCAAGAATTGAAAGGAGGTGGAGGAGATGGGAGTAAGACCTGAGGCCAGATCTAGTTCTTAGCTACCCCCGCCTGGTCCATGCATTGACCTGTGCAGAACAGAACTTGGCCCACGCTGTAAAAGAGCCACATGGCCAGCTCGTGACGGAAGCCAGCAGCTGTACGGCTGATGTTTCCTTGCTTCCCGTACTCCTCCTCCTGCTGGGCCCCGGTTCTCCCAGCCCAGGGGCCGTCTCACCTCAGACACTCAGCACACGAGGAGCTAGAGGGCCGGGGCGTCTGCCTGGCAGAGGGAGCTCTAGGAATGCATGTGGAGACCCGTCGTGAGGTGAGCTGGGGGCCAGGCCACGCCAGCAAAATGGCCCATCTCGGGAGCGGAAAATCAGCGCGAGGCCCTGGGCCGGAGGACCCATATTTCACTGGGATTCGAACGTACAGTTGCCACTGAAACGGTGATCTGTACATTGCACGTTCCCCGGCAGTCCTGCTCCGCTCCGGCCTAGGCTGGAGCATCGGTGTATCTCACGCGTCTGGCCCCTCCCATCCCGCAGGAATCATAGAATCATACTCGGGAGCGGAAAATCAGCGCGAGGCCCTGGGCCGGAGGACCCATATTTCACTGGGATTCGAACGTACAGTTGCCACTGAAACGGTGATCTGTACATTGCACGTTCCCCGGCAGTCCTGCTCCGCTCCGGCCTAGGCTGGAGCATCGGTGTATCTCACGCGTCTGGCCCCTCCCATCCCGCAGGAATCATAGAATCATAGAATAATAGGACTGGAAGGGACCTCGAGAGGTCATCGAGTCCAGCCCCCCGCCCTCAAGGCAGGACCAAGCTCCCTCTACACCATCCCTGACAGATGTCTATCTAACCTGTTCTTAAATATCTCCAGAGAGGGAGATTCCACCACCTCCCTTGGCAATTTATTCCAATATTTGACCACCCTGACAGTTAGGAATTTTTTCCTAATGTCCAATCTAAACCTCCCCTGCTGCACTTTAAGCCCATTGCTCCTTGTCCTGTCTTTAGAAACCAAGAGGAACACATTTTCTCCTTCCTCCTTGTGACACCCTTTTAGATATTTGAAAGCCGCTATCATGTCCCCCCTTAATCTTCTTTTTTCCAAACTAAACAAGCCCAGTTCATGAAGCCTGGCTTCATAGGTCATGTTCTCTAAACCTTTAATCATTCTTGTCGCTCTTCTCTGGACCCTTTCCAATTTTTCCACATCTTTGCCGGGTGCCATGAGCACTGCACAGAACCACTGGAAATTGGGCCATTTACTCAGAAAGACTCAGGAGCAGACGCCTGGGATTGGCTTTGCCCTCTGCTGCACACGTCCTCGCTCTGGAGGCCCCACTGAATGCTGGGATACCAAAGCTAAGAGCCGGGCTGTTTGATCTGGGGCCATCCCGTCCCCACAGAGGCTGGCATGAGAGGGCGAGTGGGCCGGTCGGATCCTGGTGATGAGGCATTTAGTGAAAGGACCTGGCCGCCCGGGCGTCCCCGGCAGAATGCTCCCCCGGGGTCGAATTGGGCTGGGAGTCAGGAGATGCAAGTGCTGCTCACGGTGCCTCTCGCGTGACGTTGAGCATCTGTCCCGCTGGTTCCCCTTCCACTCTGCCTGCCTACGGGGTCAGCTCCTTGGGGCAGACGCCGTCACTCCAGGAGGAAGGGCAGAGGTGACCTCTGCTCGAAATCGGTGTTCGTCACGTCGGCAGGGAAAAGACAAGTGTCCTGTTGTTCCTCCTGTCGGGTGGTTCTGAGCCGCTCCCTGCCAGCACTGCGCCCGGTGAGCGCCTTTATCGAGGCTTTGCTCCGGGCTGGCCTCTGACCTCATCAAGGCACTCAGCCTCCCAGGACAGTGGCAGAGGGGCAGGCTCCTCTGGGACACAGCTGAGCTTGTTGGTTCCTGGAGAGCCCATGGCAGGGGCAGGCGCTGTCCAGGACTGTGCTGCGTGCGGTGGCACTGTGACGGAGGGTTGGGACCTTGCTGGGTGCTCTGCT